TAGTATTTGTAATAACCAGAATAAAATTCAAAAATCTGAAAAAAAAACACACATGTTAATCATCTGTATAATGGATAAATAAAAATTCTAGGATAGCTACTCAAAGCAATGCATGAGGCGGTGAAAATAAATGACCTATAGCAACATGCAACAAGACAGATGAACCACAGAAACACGGCTGGGCAAAATCAATAAAGTTACAAAAGAATATCTACATATGACAACGTTTTTATGAACTTTCAAAATAAAGCTAATTAAGCAATACACATACATAGTTAGGGCTACATACATGTGTGATGAAATTATAATTTATAAAAGAAGAGAAAATTATAAACATAAAACAGGATGTGGTTAGCTCAGGAAAAGGGTCAGGGTCAAGTCATTAGATTAAGAGCAGGGGTAGCTTCAATAAAGAGTGTACATGCAGGAGTTGATTAATGGTTCATAATGTAAAAACAAAAAATATGTATTAATGTCATGAGCAAAGTATTATTCAATTAGGTGATTTAAACAATATGATTAAAATCCTGAAATAATATAATCCAGAGTTGAAAAAGGAGAATGTGCCAACTCTGCACACTAACATTACCGAAAATATTTGTTTCAATCTTTAGTGTAATTGCCACCAGTGGAGAGTAAAATACTTTAATATCAAACCACATTAGTTTTTAGTGTTTGGAACAGAGACTATGGAGTTTTAAACGATATCCTTTAAGTAAGCAGTTTTATATTAAATTCCATTTTATTTTGTATAAATGGAAAATTGAAACTACCAGTGAATTCAGATTTAAAGCTAATATTTTGTTTGAAATTTGGTGGTTCATATGGGACACCCCTACCACCACATTTTCCCACTGAAAAGTTCAAGCAGTTTTATACCTAAGCCTTTGCCGGTAGTTTTAAAGATATCCAAATACAAGAATATAGAGAAAATGTTTGAGAAGCTGAAAGTTAAATGAATCACTATATACACACAAACACACATAAACACTGAGTGAAATGCAAAATTAAATTAGATTCACAAACAGAGAAAAATGCCAGCTTCAAACATTGCTAGTTCTCCTTAGCACCAACCCCACAAGTAGAGATTAAAAAATTACACTGAGCTATGACTGCCCGTGTTGTCTTGATGATAAAGCAAAATTTCAAAATAGAGTATTGTGTGGCCAGTGAACTGTTTAAAGGGGCGGGGACAGAGACATCTTAAAAGTCATTATTCAAGCATTATGCTTCCTTTATAACATGAATTTGTTTGTTAGAGTTAAGTGCACAGAATAGCATTTACTCATCTTCTTGTAAAAATGAAAAAATAAATAAAAGTAATATAAAGTAAATGCTCTTATGCTACTTTTCCTGTGCCCTCATACAGGGTTTATTCCTAATTCTGTTTCTATGTGTGGTGCAAATGGAGGCTTATTAAATCTACGGCTTCTAGTCTCATGATTACTTCTCCACAATTTATTCCATATGCCGGACAGCATTTATAACTCTTACTCCTTTAAAAGCCTTTATTTTTCTGGCTTCTCACAGACCCCATTACTTTCCAGGGTACCTGAGCCCATTTGGTTTACTGAAGTGTCATCTCAGCAGAAAACTCTGGAACAAAGATATCTGTCCAGCTTAGAAATTGTATGGTCATGGCCGGGTTCCTGTATCTTTGTGGTCAGCAGTAACCTGCCTTCTGCTGCCCAAGCCCTCTCCTGACCTCCACATTATGTATTTGGTCAGTCACTCTTGCTGTGGAGAGAGGAGTAAGCCAGAGCTGCTTTACAGACAGCAACTACACTCGGGGGTTCAGAAACTTAATTCCTCTTTAAAAAAAAAACAAACACTAATACCCCCAGAAAGGTATGGAGAAATTGTTTGAAAGAGCATGAACCAGTGTGAATGCACTACAGTCCTAAATTGATGCTGTTTTGGCTGCAATCTGTGGAGGGAATTTAAGGCTTTTCAAGGCCTGGACATAACATAGCAGAAATAGAACAAAAGCAAAAAGAGCTTCAGTCCAGATGGTAATGTTGAAATAGATCTGAATAGAAAAGTCCACCCTCTCTGGGCTTTCTTGATTTTTCTTACTAATATGACCATCACTCAAACGATGAAGTGTGTGATTTTAAGAGAAGGAAGCAGCCTGGGTATTCAGTATCAACATGGTAGATGGAAACCCATTTTCCTACCTATTCTGCGTTAATAAAATCTGTAATACAAAATACGTTCAATTCACGCACAGAGTTTGGTGATGAGACAGTAAGTTCAGTGCAGCCTGTGGTCTTCCAATTCTGCTTCTCACTCCTGTCTAGGAAGAATGTCACTTGGATTTATTTCTCTATTCACTTCTTTTGTCATTTTAATTCCTTGCACAAGGAAACATCCAAGGTAGGTCGCACTAAACACTATCCTAAATCACTGTGATATTCTCTGTGGCCTCTTCTTTCTATCGTCTGAGCGTGCTTCTGAAGGGTAGCAGAATATGCCAAATGTTGTTTTGGCATATTAACTATTTGGATCTGTGGTATTTGAAAAACAGCAAACGTAAGGAGAGGCTTTCCCTGAACTCTCAGTATCTAACTAAAGATAGATCCTCCAACAAAATCCAAAAAACAAAAAAACTTCGATTGTTATAAATGCTACCCCACCCCACCGGCCAGCAGTTCCATCAAGCCGAGAAGACCGACTCCTCACAGGAGAACAGACCAGAAGTTGACACCACAGCCAGACCAAGGTTTTCACAAACCATTCTAGTTGCCATCTGTTCTTCTAAGGGTATCTAAGGCCATCTGTTCTTTATCTTTCCTAAAGGTTATTTCCTTTGCCCTAAGAGGTCTACATCACCCTCTTCCTTTCCTCCGTTAAGTTAGTTTACAATCCCGAATTGTAAGCTAACTACAAAAGCTACTCATTTTCCCTGGGTTATCTTTTATGTGTACATGAGATACATGTGTTAATAAACTTCTGTTTGTTTTTCCCTTTTTAATGTGCCTTTCATTATAGGGTTCCAGCTACGAACTCATGGGAGAGAAGAAAAATGATTTTTCCTCTCGTACATCCTTCTCACCAGGTTCCCAAACCAGAAAGCCTGTCAGTCTCCGTGTTGTCTTACTGGCCTCCTTGCCTCTGCTCCTCAGTGTCAATTTCCCTCTCTTCCCTCTGCACTGAATGAATAGAGACAGAGAGCAGGCTTTGGACTGAACTAGGCCGAAACCCCAGTGTACAACCATTTATCAGCCACAATGTGATCCCAGGTCACATAGTGAAGGTCTCTGGGACTTAATTTTCTTCTCAGTAAAATATTTGCCTCTTCCTCTTGTGGTGAAGATGGACCGAGATGATATATGGAAAACATCAGCCAGTGACCGCCCAGAGTACTATCTGGATTCACTGTGTGGATGGCGGTAGAAATGAGGAGGAGGCAGAAGATAAGAACAACACTCATAAGCATCATTATATAATCAAATGAATTTAAAGATCACTCAATATCAGACTGCTTCCTAGGCATGAGAATATCCAGAATATGATCTACAGAAGTGATAAAATACACAAACACAGCACTAGAAGGTAGGAAGTATGGAACTTATAATCAGGAAATGTATTTCAAGGATTTTTTTCCTAACCACAATATTCTTTTGAAGAAAGCCATCCCCAAAAACGATAATACACAAATACTAGTGTGAAGACTCTTAAACTATTCACTAAAGCATTTTGACTGCTTACTTATGAATTCTGGAGTTTTCTGAAGGTTCAGTCAAAGTCATGTCATGTTTAATTTTTAATCAGTTTAGACTCAATATTAATAGATTTCAGAATCTACACCTAGGGCTTCTTCTAGAAGTTGTACCTGTGTTTTTTGCAAGTCTTCTCCATCACTCTCTTTTATTACCCAGAAGAGAAAGTATTATTTTTGATTTTATGCCAGCACAGCTGCCTCTATCAAGAAAAAAACCTTTGTCATTCTTCACTCCCTATCTTCTTTTTTTTCTGATTTCTTGCTCCCTCTGAACCAGAAAAATTTCTTAGATTTATGGGTATTTCTTATACAATGTTCTTTTCAGTTTGTTGCTTAGATCTTTACTTATTTTGGTTCTAGTTTCTTTAGTTCCATTTTGGATTTTTTCCAGTTTCCTAGTCTTTGATGTTTCAGGCTGTCTATTAGTCTTTTTTCCATCTGTGCTCTTTATTCACTCACAGACGAGTCTGACTCGCTCATTTTTCTACCCAAGCACAAAGAATTCTTCCTCTGAATAAATGATGTTTTCCTTCAGTCTATTTCCCCATGTAGTCCTCCAATGCTAATATATTATATATGAGCATGTATAATATATTCTATGTAACATATGCAGTGTATAATATATAAACATATATAAACCAGATTAATTCCCACAAAAATATAAAATTGATAGATGTCTACATCTGAGTGAGTGGAATCTCAGGTGAATTAAGACGCCAAGGTTTATACCACAGGTTCTGATTCCAAATTCCAGTCGCTGGGTCAGATGTTGTAAAAGTAGCAGAGAATAAGACCATTGATATCACTCCCTCAATGAAACATTTTGAGACACATTATCTGTATATAAGTAAATGTATAACCGTATATAAAATAATGTAAATGTTAAACATATAAATAAATATAAGAGGCATGATACCTGCGGAGAAGGAAATGAACATGTAGTTTGATAAGATTTAACTGGGTGTGAGGTGGCTGGAATAACACGCACCGGAAGAGGACATTTTCACAGAGAGGAGAAGTGAGATGAGAAGAGCATTCCAAGCCCAGAAGTATGAACCAGGCACAGATACATGGCAGTAAAAGGCATAAGTGTGTCCAAGAAAAACAGATATCCAGTTTTGCCAGAGTATAAGCAGCGTAAGAGATTCACGCTCCAAAGTCCACATTCTTTCACCTCTCTCTCACACTAGTGTCATTTTCCCAACACAGAAATAAAATTAACGTAATGGGGTTCAGAACCCAGGGTGCCCAAGAATCCAGGAAAAAATCCACTAACCTGATTTAGGAGATGGGAGAAGCAGAGAAGGCCATTGTGAGTTACTTTGCATTATTACGACAACTTGGCTAGTTTAATAGTTATGTTAAAAAGCTGTGCTTGCACCTGGGGCGAGGGAGATGGGTGTGACTTTGATTCCTGCTGTAGCTCATTGTGGGAGGAGTCAGACCTGGGTTGCTTACAGCATCTGTGAAAGAGGCCAAAGCTCAGAGTTAGAGTTTAAACTAAGCATGTGGGCAGCCGTTGGGGAGCTGACCAGCAGTTTGAAAGAGAGCAGTGAGAAGGGAGAAGTAAGCCAGCAGCTACGTAGTTTTAGTGAGGAAGAGGCCATGTGGTCTGGACTAATAAGCAAGGAGACGCTGCTGCAGTTCCTGCCGGAGCTGACTCCGGAGCCACAAAGGGATTTCCTGCAATAGCCTGACCTGCCGCACCTGGACTTTACCTGGACTTTTAAGACCTGTGCCTTTCCTGAGTTTCACCATGATCCACAGTAACATGGCACATGCTTTTCTAGACTGTTACGCAGAGGCTGATGACAACATATTCCAAATCTGCACAGATAAGGACATGGGAAACTTTGGGGGATGTTTTGGGTTTGTAGCCTGGTGGGGAGCATGGGAAGTGCTGAGTCTGGTGACTCAGGGCTGAGGTGCTCTAAGCTGTTCCAAGGCTGGAACATTGTAAATAAAGACCTGTTTTTACCAGCATTAATTATTGGGTCGTATACCAAGGCACCACTTGAACTGGCCCCCAGTCTGCTGGGTGACATTAATACTCCATGACATTTATTGGCACTTGTTATTTTTACCAACATTGAAGCATCTTAGGCCTCATTCCAGGTTACCCTTGTCCAACTATATTCACTCTCCTTGTGGAGTCAGTAGTTAGTCTCAAGGCTTTAAATATGCACCTATCCCGATGAATTCCAAAAACTGCCTGCAGCCTTGAACTTTCTTCTGAACTCCAGATTTGTGTATCTCAGCAGTCACCAGACATCCCCACTTGGATGGCTAATAAATATCTCAAATAAAACTTGACCAAAGGTGAGCTACATCTGTAGACTTCTGATGGGGTCTGCAATTTGATTGTATCATCATTTATGAGTTAGATAGTAACTTGCACTGTTTCATGGATGCTGGTAGAAGACACAAAACTCTGGGCCAGGGACAGTAGACTTTATTAGTCATGACACCACAAATAACATGACCATCAGCACTGCTGTTTTCCATGTCCCCAAGTGCCATGATGTGGAGGGGCAAGGTAGATGCTACACCTGCAGTAGATTTTATTGCTGCCAAGTAACTCTGACTTTGTATAATGCGCTGCTTTTACTGAAAGCATCAGGCAAGCTTGTTCTCTGTCACTACAGCAGATATTAACTCATTATTCAAGGGTACTTTCTATAAGCACAACCCTGATCAATGGCCCAGGTAAAGAGCATTCAAGACCTGGCAGTCTTGATATAGCTAGAGAGACAAGAAAATTCAAGAAATTTATGGAGGGCCATCTCTCTCAATACTTCTGTGACATGGGTATGAGGTGGCTGGCATCATGAAGGATGTAAAAAAGGGCATAGGTTTACAGGCTGCTACGATAGCCCTTGACAATAAGGGCCATTTTGTGGCACTTGCGCCCAGATCAAATGTGTCAACAGTGAACTTTGCTGGACTTACCTCTTCATCCTCCACCCTGGTAGGCTGATGGCTTCCTTGGGATGGAAAGGCTTAGGCACCTGGACTAACACCTGGGAATCTCTCAGCTTTCTACCCGCCTCCCCCAAGAACAACACACAATTGCTGGATTCTCTTTAAAGTAGCTGTTTCTTTGATATCCACCTCACTTAAAGGAAGGAAGGAAGGGAGGGAGGGAGGGAGGGAGGGAGGGAGGGAGGGAGGGAGGGAGGAGATATGGACACCGTTACCTAGGCCACCATCCCAAAAATACAGGCTTCCCTGCTCTGGTTTGGTGTTCAGGTAGCCTCCTCCTTTCATGGGTGGACATTCACCTGGAGACAGAGTAGCAGTTCCTTACTGCTGCGCCGACCCAATCTGTAACCTTATCAGCTTCTGCATCCTCTCTTCTGAAAGTTGAAATTCTACAGGCTCCATTTCTTCTCCTTTAAGATCATCTTGAGAACAAGGAATCCTTGTTTTATCACTCTACCTGAAGACTCTGCACCCAAGTCCACCGTCAAAAGGCCCGAGATATAGGTGCCAACAAAGGTTCATCCCATCTACCCGTGAGCTGAGTTGTGGAGATCCCTAACTCTGTTGCAGCACACAGGTCCCCCTGCTATCACCTGGTCCACGTCCTGCTCTCCATGCCTCTCCTGCACTTACAGACACCACCGCCATTGTTGACACTGGCCCCAGCTTGGGAAATGAGCCTGCTAGTTTCCTTCTGCTTCCCACCACACTGCAGATGGCTCCCTAACGAAATGATATTTATGTATTTAGTTTGCTTGTTGTTTATATCTCCCACTAGAAGAAAAGCTCTGTGAAGGAAAACATTTTGTATTTTACATTCAATCATTTTTCTAGTACCTAGAAAAACATCGTTGCTACTAAAATTTTATTATATTGACTGAATGGATATACGTCATTACTAATTTGTTCATTGGCTTCCTTTACCACTAGAATGTATTCTCTGTTGGAGTAAGCAGTTGAGTGAGTCTTTTCACTGCTGTATTCTTTATGCCTAAAACCGTGGCAAATCAGATTTTTCTACAATGTATAATGAATAAATATTGGATGGCCAAATGAAGTTAGTTCTAACTAAATTATTGCTCTGCATAATGAAATGTAATGGTTAACTTTACTTGGGTATTTTACTAGTCATTTAAAAAATTAAGTATATTTTGGAAGATGTGAGTCATTTGTTGATTCTCAAGAATTGATTGAATGCTTACAGTAAGGGTTTATCCATCATAGTGCTTAGTAGAGTTTGTTAATAAATAAATTCAAAGGATACCTATCAAGCAGGGCAGAGACCATTGGCTACTTGCCAAAAGCTATGGTTTCTTCTTCTTAGGCTCCTTCATGCCATTCACCAAGTCTCGGCAGTTACTGTGGCACCACGAGTGTTTCCTGACCAGTGGAAGGCAGGCTGGAGGCACATGGGTTACTTAAAGGCACAGCCTGTAAAATCCCGCTTTGTGCAACCCCATTCTGGTTCCCCCCTCTGTCTATCAGTGAGAGGGCAGCCTCTGGGGCATTTTGGGAACTGCACATAAAAGGAGAGTGTCTCCATAAGATCTGAGCTTTAGATGATCACCTGGGAGACAGCTGCTTGGCCAACTGTCCTTAGAACTCTTCTTAGAATTCATTTTTAGTTCAAGCCAATAGATCTTTGGGTGACCATTAAAAAAATTTAGCATACCCAAACTTGTCCAAGAAATTGGTTTATGCTTATTTACTTAAAAACTAATACTTTTAAAAGTATTTTTTTCCTAAATAAAAGAGTTTCAAGTTGATATTTCTTATCTTTTGTTTTCCAAGGTCACAATAATGGTGGACGCATTAAGCGTAATTTATCTTATTATATTTTTCCCCACAATTAACTGAAAATACTCTCACAGAAACTCTTCTGTGCAATTTCACTTGGTTTTTTGAGGGTCTCCAGTGGTCGTGCCTCCTCCCCATGGGAAGTTGGGTTGTCTCAGTCAGTGTTGATTCTCACCTCCTCCCTCTCTTCTTCAGTTAACTCCCTCTTAGTGGTTTTTGGAGGTGCCTCCCCAGTCTCCGATCTTGTGAAGGATTCCTCACAGAGGCCCCTGGCACTTGCATCGAGACCTTCCACCAGGCACACCCTGGTGCTCCCAGCACTCTCGAGACAGGGACACCGGCATTCATGGCACACCCTGGGCCTCAGAGGAGCAAGCACACGCTGTGGGCGGCAGGTGTTGTTGAGGGAAGGCGACTCATGCCCTTCTCTGGTGCTTTGCACTTCTGAGTGAAAATAATGTGTTAGTCTTTCCCTGACATCGTTTCCTCCCCTTTGTCCTCCCAGGTATGGTCCCTACTGCGATTCCCCTTCCTTTGCAGATAGGGCTGGAGAATATTAAACTGGACGCTCTATCCCAAATCCCCTTTCACGCTAATAATGGAGGCCCTGATACTTGTCTAAGTATCCCTTTTTTCTTCAGAGGGTTCTCACTAGTTCTTCATGAGAATAAAGAACTTTGGTTAAATTCTTAACCAAAGAGGCACGCTTGTGCACCAAAAAAGACCGGAGGAGTTTGACTCTTCAAACTAAACAAAGTTCAAGGGTCAGGCTTAGCTCTGTCACATGGATTGGCCATGATTCACAGGCAGCACGTTGCTTGTCACTACAACACACACCAAACAATACAGGGTGGGCAAAAGTGGGTTTACAGTTAGAAGTATATGAAGCACAGAATTTACTTTTGTATTATCATTTGTTAATCATTTTATTACTTTCTGTACAATTACAAACATACTTTTACCCCACCCTGTATATGGAAAGGAATTTGTAGAAGGAAAGTGAAAAGCAAAAAATTGAGGTTTTCTACATTTGTTTAGTTGTCATGCATCAGTTGTGTGTATGTGCATGTGTGTGAGTATATGCGTGTGTAGGTTTCTTTTGCCTTATTGGAAATAATGCTACCGACTTCCATCTACTTTACAGGATTTATACATATAAATTTTATTTAATTATTTATTATGTATTAATAATTTAATTATGACTATACAGATATCTACATGTTTTCATTTTATTTAAAGATTTTACAGATTTAGAATAAGGGAAAATTTCTGTTGTCAAGTCCTACTCCCTTTAAAAACTACCCCAAAATGCATAGTCCTGCCTTCCTTTGCCAAAGCAGGCCAGTTTTAGAACATGCTAGTCAGAGGTATTGCTTTTCAGAAAAGCAGAAGCCTGCAGATCAGCGTTCCCAGTCACAGTTCAGCTCCGAGCATCCCTCACAAACCCGGGTGGCTAGGCAGGTTCCCTGTGTCTCCATCAGCTCTGCCTCAGTCTTCTCCAAGCAGACTGGAATCTGGGTGGCTGGGCAGATGCCCTCATTGCTACGCCACCAGCTCCAGTGACTCACTGGATTTCCTCTAACTTTCAGGCCTCCTTTGTCTTACTCCAG